TGTAAACTCAAGGCTGCGGCTTCCTTTATGCAATCAGTCCATCTCATAGTTGTTCCTCCTCTTCTTTCACCTTTGACTATCCCTACCATGATTGTCTTCTCCAGTGAGTCTTGCCTTTTCACAATGTACCCAAAGTATGACCTCAGTTTCATCAGTTTTGTTTCCAGGGCAAGTTCCAACTTGATTTGATCTAGGATCCACTTGTTTATTTTTCTGTCAGTTCAGGGTAATTGCAGAGCTCTCCTCTGCCATGTTTCAAGCACAGCCATTTTCTTTCCGCAAGCTTTCTCCACTGTCAAGCTTTAGAGTATAATAACTCTTCTGCAATAAATACTCCATTATAACTTTATAATAAAGGCATTATTATAGTAGCAGTTTTATTTTTATTGCCTTCCTAGTGATCTCCAACATGGGATTTGTCTTTTTATTTTTCTTGGTAAGTCATCCCAAGTGCAGACCCCATCAGCATGAAACTAAGATTTTTTTGCCCCAACGTAAATCACTTTACACTTGTTTCCATTAACTTGCTTTTGCCAGTTTAATGTCTGTTCCCCTGTGAGAGATCATTTTGACACTTTGATATTTCTTTTAACAGTCCCAAACATTTGATGTCACCAGTGGTCATCTTACCATTCATGTTTAACTCCAGATCATTTATAAGCAACTTAATAACAACGGTCCCAATAGAGAGCCTTTGGGGAACTTGACTGTTACATCCCACCTCGGTTAGAATTGTCCATTTATTCCCACTCTCTACTTTATGTTCTTTAACCAGCTACCTAGCCACAAACAAGAAGCTTCTTCACTTATCCTGTCAAAAGTCTGTCAAAAGTCTTTTGGGAGTCTAAGTACACAGCGCCTACTGGTTTAGTCCTGCCCATGAGTTTGTTGGCACTATCTAAGGACTTTAGGAAAGAACTTACCTTGCAGGAACTATGCTGATTCTTCTTCAGCCAGACTTGGCCTTCGAGCTACTTGATATTTTTTCCTTTAGTAAAGCTTCTTTACCAGGAGCAGAGCTTAAGCTGACCTCTAATTTCTTACATAGATATTTTTAAAGTTGTTACCCTGGCCATTATTCTGTCTTCTCATGCACATGCTGAACTTAGGGTTATGCTCCTTCTTATAGAACTTTCTTCTTGGTGAGCTCATCTAGTGTCTACACTAAGGTATTTTAGATACTACATACAGTTCTTTTTATTACATTTTTATTTTAATCAGATCCATCTATCTATCTACTGTGACTGTATATAGAGCTTTCCCTTTTCACGCTTTTACTTGAGGGACTTATTTGCTGTTTATCCTCTGTATCTACTTTTGGGATCTGAGCAGTACTGGAGCAGCTTTTCCTTTCCTGCTTTTCTGCTATATAAATAAGTGGTGTTTTGGAACACAAGAACAATGCACATATGTGAGAGGCAATTGCACTTCCTTTCCCATTCACAATTAAATGTGGCATTTTTCCAGCTCTCAGAAGGTCACCAAATGTGACAGAAGTGAAACTAGAGGGTTACAATGTCATTTAAAGTACAGGTAAACAAACATCAGTAGAGAATGACAAGCACATGATACATGCCCCATGTAGAAAAAGTCCATAGCTTTAACTGCCTGTTTTTGTTGTATGCTTTGACCTATTTATTTTATTGTGTTTTACTGCCTACTTGAAACTATACTGGGGATTTTTAATTCAGGACCAATCAAAAACATTTTAAGTAAATTAATAAAAGTTTGTTTTCTTGATTTTTAAATATCACATCTGGATCCCATCGTACTAATGCAAATAGAGCTCTTGACTGATGTTTGTAAATCAGCTTTCTCCAAGTTGGTACAGTTCAGACATGTTGGACTTCTATTTCTATCAAAACAGACAAAACGGCCAATACCCATAAGCCAGGTTGGAAAATCCTAACCTAACAGGGGGCTTGTACTGAATCATGTTATGCCAAACCCCAAGGTATGCTTCCTTTTTTAACTTTGTCAGCACTTTCATTACCCATATTTCAAAGCAATAAAAGGGACCGCATTAAAGGAAACATAGGAGAGTATTTAAATTTAATGGTAAATTTGTTATGTGTCCATATATAATTCATTGACATTTGTACTGCCTGCATTAGGGACAAAACGCAACCCATTAAGAACCACACAGGAGACTGTATCACAACATCTGTAGTGACATTGGTTCCACATGACAACAACTAAACGAATAAAGCACAGAAATTGTGAACAGCTAAGCTGGATGCACTATAGAGAATTACTAGAGTCCCAGGTAATTATGAAGAAGAAAGGTTCTGCTTTTGAATATGCAGAATGCTTGCTATGAGAAAGCAAGACCCTTCTATTGAACTGCAGAGAAATCCATGTTTACTGTGCTTCAACCCAGAGAAGGCAGCCTTATGCATGCAAACACAGAGCGTGCGAAAGGACTGCCCTTGCTTTCTTTGCTCTCAGTCATTAAGGTTTTTAAAAAAGATGCACTTTCAAAAATCTGAAAACATTATTTTCCTCCTTTCACTCCTTTTGAAATACAATTTGGAGTGTGCTGTATTTCTCTCATTGGCAAATTGGCTTTCTTTCTATGGCTTTTCAAGCATTTCCAGTGTGAATATTCGCAACATTTCCTGCTAGAAGTGCAACCAGAACAGTGAAAGGGTTGTGTGCATTCTGTGTAAAAGTCTGCTAAATAGTACCATGATGCTGCTGTAAAAGAAAAAGAGAGATTTCCCCAACCTCCCCCACTTTAAATGTCTGTGCAGGTTTCATGTTTCTAAAGCGGTAGTGGGCAACTTGCGCCCCTTCAAATATTAATGGATCTTCAGATATTTCCATCCTCCCTCACCACAGAGTAAGGCTGATGGGAGTTGCAGTCCACTAAAATCTGAAGAGTCGCAAGTCACGCACCCCTGCTGTATTGTTTTCATTATATATGCCTTTGTTTAATTTGGGAAAAGATGCGCACTTGCCCACTTGATCACATGTGACCTTAGGGAGCCTTCCACTCCCTCTGCACCAAAGCCTCAGCCTGGCAAGACACTTCTGCATTTAATTTTGCTTTCCCTGGAAATACGCATCTCCCCACATTCCAGAACTACTGTGCTCCCCCTCCCCTGCTTTTCTCTCTCTCTCTCTCACACACACTCACTAGTGAACAGACACTACCATTTCTGCAGTCTGTTTTCTTACTGCAGAACATCGGTTTGAGAAAAGAAGACTGAGGAGATGCAGGCTGTCTTTTGACCATTAGTGCTAGAGCTGTTTCGCTTGCAAGTGGCTTTTGGCAATTATCACACCATTGTTGCAGGATTTCAGCTGGCGGCGGGAGCAGAACGACAGAACTCCTCGCACCAAGAAAATAATTGCCTACACAGACTTTATGTGCTGTCTTTCTTGTAGCCAGGACTGATAGTGGAAGGCACCAAAAGCATAATTTTATATTCAGAATTAACCTTACAAATGTACAGAAAAAACCTACGTGTACATAATTCTCTTTGCA